GAATCATCAATCAATAGACACATCGAGATAGACAAAATTTATCAACCGATAAGAAAGAAACCTCTCACACACACACACAAAGGGTGAAAGTTCAAGTCAAAGAAACAAACAGTTTCAATACAAGTAACCTAGAGGGTGTGAAAAACACGAAGACAAACAATCACGAGGTCTAAGGTCACCAGGAGAGATGATTAATAAACTCGTGGAGAAATCTAAAAGCTCACTTCATCGAATTGAAGTGTATGTGCTGAAGGAAGATGTCGCCTAGTAGGTGGGGCAATGAAAGCATCGCAAATTAACTAACTATCCAGCTCAAAGAACACAACCACATCAAAATCATCCACCTGAGCTACAAATCTTCTCTATCATATCTAATCCTATAATTTTACACACATCCTTTCAACATCTATGCATCTTGTGAACTATTCTGTGTATGACATTATTTGTTTTACCACTTTATATTTAACTACGATTATAATCAAGAACACATTGATCGCATTTCAGACTCTGATTGCAGCGCTGGATGACGCGGGTTCGAATCTCAGAAGGGATATGAGTTGTTCCTTCAAGGCAGTTGCAGATACGCCTTGCTGACTGGTGAGTGCCAACTAGCACGAAACCTAGGTCAGGCAGGGCTTCCTGTGGCCGATCACCTCCAATTATCTAATGTCATCAGACTCTGATTTTATTTTACATATCAATTCATGATCACAGCTGAAATAGATCAAATCCCTACAAACAACAAACTCATGAAAATTAATCCAATGTGTCTCTAGTAACTGGCGTCAGGATCAAGTTGCCAGGAGTTCTAGTGATTAGTCGTGATCAATGGAGTCGATCCGGTCAATTGTGACGACAAATACACACATTGGCTGGTGGTCATGCTAAAACCACGAATCGGCATAATTTGAATGAAATTTTATGGGCTGGCCACTGATTCGCGTCCCAGTATCTGAATGGTCTATGAGCTGCTTTCCATGCAACCGAAGGGTGGTAAGTGAGTTTAGAAGCTTAGTGGGTGCCTACCACCCGAAGATTACGAAACTAGGATGAAATAGCTGTCCCAGTAGTAGCCTCTTTCAGGCTTTCAGTGACTCTTTAACTTATATCAATCCATGATGAAATTGGAAACAAGTTGAATTCCTACAAGAAAAACTCATAAAAATTCACACCTTAATTTAAGTCACCTCACAGGAAATTTCTTTTTCCTTCATGTTCCCAGCTGAACATAGGGCTTCAAGCTAGAGGCTTGAAGTTTCTGTAGCAGTGGTGAAGTTGCTAGCCTCATGCTTAACTTAACCTCTTTACCAGCTTTATTTCTGACTTGGCTAGGTAAAGGAGTGCGTCGGTGGCCGGAGATTGAACTCCGCACCATGTGCATGGTCGGCAAGCCTCCTAACCGCTGTGCCACCGATGCTTCACGAGAAATAACCGTTTAGAAAACCATATATATGTATACTATTGTACAGTTGATAATAAATCCACTCAAAAGAATCCCTATTCATATATTAATCCCTGCACCAAATATATATATATACATATGATTTAATAATTCCCATTATAACCAGGGAGTACTGGACAGCTGTTTCATCCTAGATTGGGAATCATCATAAGTACACACCCACTACAGGGGTTCGAACCCAGGACCTTCCGATTACAAGGCTAGAGAACTCGTATACCATTGAGCCACTGGGACCCGATTCAGTGGCTCATGAATTCTAACTTCAACCAATCCATGATTTAGCGCGACCCCAAACATTGTCGAACCCCAGTGGGACATCCATTCTCACACGCGACATCTGGATGAACCTCACTGGTCACGACGTCTCTCTAGAACTAACTCCAAGAAACTCCGTCCATCCTGTAGCAAGGCACTAGTGAGCATCAGATTCATTTTCTATAGTTTGGTTTGTAAGGGTTAGTTATGTTTTTACGAGTTGATCACGGATGGATATTAGTTAGACAACCAGTGAAAACCAACACCGGAGTACTGGACAGCTGCTGTTTCATCCTAGTTTTGGAATCATCTTTAGTACACATCCACTGGGGTTCGACAATGGTTGCAGTCGCGCTAAATCACGAATTGGCCGAAGTTAGAATTAATCAGCTGTCCATTTAATCGGATCCCAGTGGCTGAATGGTATATAAGTTTGCTGGCCTTATAATCGGAAGATCCTGGGTTCGAACCCCTGTAGTGGGTGCGTACTTCCGATGATTCCCAAACTAGGATGAAACAGCTGTCCAGTACTCCGGTGCTGGTTTTCAATGGTTCTCTGTCTGTTTGTCTGTTTTCGGCATAGAACTTTGCACATATGTGCGGCAGTTCAGGTCGCCATACTCCATATAGCACACAAAGGTTCTCTAACTGATATCAATCCGTGATCAACTCGTAAAAACAAAACTAACCCTTACAAACCTAAATACAGAAAATTCCCATTGTAGCATTAAGAACACAATAATCAGCGAAGAGAATCTTTTCAACAACGAATTTATTATCAAGCTGCACAATCGTATATATATGGTTTAAAAAAATTATGTCCGATAAGGGAATTAGATCAGAGGTGTGAATACATGAAATAATAATAACAGTAGTATGAAAACCAATTAAAATATTTGTGATTACAATCATTGTTAAATGTCAAAGGACAAAACAATTAATGTCATACATAGAATACTACATAAGATGTATAGATAGATGTTGGAAAGGGGCGTATAATTATAGGATTAGTTGGCCAATTTAAAACGTTACAACATAACATGGTGTGAAATTTGATAAGGTGGAATTCCATATTGTAAAATAAATATAATTTTGGATTTAGAATGACGAGTAGGACAAGTGGAAACAATTCAAATTGGGAATGGTAGTAATAATAATAATTGTGGTAATGTGGGAAAGGTACATAGAATAACCAAATAAACAAAATGTGTAAATAAATGTCTATCCCTCTGTGGTCAAGACCTCTGCTGTCTTAAGAAGTTTATATTGAAGAAAACGTCTCAAGTTCGCATGGATTCGGTAGAAGATGTTCTAGAATACAGATTCGCACACCCTTCCTTTCTCCTTTGTAAAACCATGCTGGAATATGTTTTCGTATCCGTGTGGTGGAAAGAGTTCTTTGGCTACGGTCGATTTACCTTGCTTCACAAGAGCGGAAGAACTGATAGATGCACATGGAGGCGGCCAGACCGGGGAGAACAAATTACGGTGGGCGAAGCTAGTGTGTAGTTTGAACGTCCTACTAATTGAGTTAGAGACACGGTTTTTGAGCATATCTGAAGCCCGATGATCATCTTTGAATTCCAAATTCATGAAGATGGTTTTCTTTAGAACTGAGTCGGTGTCCATTTTGTACAGCATATCTATCTATATCTGTCAATAAATCGGTTCAGGTAACCGTTTTCTGCCAGCGTGGCTTTTAGGAAGTCAAGTTTTGAGTCAGTAGAATCAGAAGTGCAAATATTTCTTATCTTACAATCCTTAATTTTGCCTTGGCTGTTTATGGATGTACCTTTCCCTCATTACCACAATTATTATTATTATTACTACCATTCCCAATGCGAATTGTTTCCACTTGTCCAACTCGTCATTCTAAATCCAAAATTATATTTATTTTACAATATGGAATTCCACCTTATCAAATTTCACACCATGTTATGTTGTAACGTTTTAAATTGGCCAACTAATCCTATAATTATACGCCCCTTTCCAACATCTATCTATACATCTTATGTAGTATTCTATGTATGACATTAATTGTTTTGTCCTTTGACATTTAACAATGATTGTAATCACAAATATTTTAATTGGATTTCATACTACTGTTATTATTATTTCATGTATTCACACCTCTGATCTAATTCCGTCACCGGATATAATTTCTTAAAAATAAACCCATAATTATTTATGTATATATCGTCACGAACCAACAACCTTTAGAGAATTACTGAACATCAGGGTGTATCGGATAGCTGTTTTGTCTTATTTTGGAACTTTTCAACTGTGTGCTTCACTAGGACCATCTGCTTATAAGGCTATCCTCACTGACCGTTTGGCCAGTCCGGCGGATGTTAGCTTGTAATGAAATTGAACAAGTGAAATTATTCTGTATCGCTGTAGAAACGCCCGCGCGCGCTCACACACACAATCCAAATTATCAATCTATAGTCATAAAAATGTACGGAGAAATTGTGACCCATTTTAGGCTGCACTATGTCAAATTGAAGGGTGGCCCTCATCAATGGCACTATCCCACGAACTGAAACAAGTTAGAATTCATGAAGTCAGTCACTGAATGATTAAAAAGTTAGGCTTCGTAACATGAATGGGTGTGTTCGTGTGTTTGTGGGTTCATGCAACTAATTGCTGAAGAGTCACAAGCTGGGGTGAAACAGCTGGCTATCCAGTATACCTTATTAGTTTTTAATGATTTGTCTTTTCAATTAATGTCAAGTTAGTTCGTGAGAAAATCTTTAAATTACAGGTTTGAAAGCACATAAATCAATCCGTGATCAACTCGTTAAAAAAAAACAAAAATTAACCTTTACAAACCGAAAACTATAGAAAATGAATCTGATGCTCGCTAATGACTTGCTACAGGATGGACGGAGTTTCCTGGATTTAGTTCAAGTGAGAAGTCGTGACCAGATGTCACTTGCAAGGATGGATGTCCCACTGGGGTTTAACAATGGTTGGGGTTGCGCTAAATGCATCACGAATTGGTAGAAGTTAGAATTCATGGGCTGGCTGGGTGGCTTTTGAATCGGGTCCCAGTGGCTGAATGTTATACGAGCTTACCTAGTAACCAGAAAGCCGTGGGTTCGAACCCTGGTGATGAGGGCGTACTGACGATGATTCCCAGACTAGGATGAAACAGCAGCTGTCCAGTACTCCCTGGTTTTCAATGGTTATCTAACTGATATCAGTCCGTGATCAACTCGTAAAAACAAAAATAATCCTTACAAACTAAACTATAGAAAAATAAATACAATTACTAACTTACTTTTTTACGTTACGTGGGGTAATGATAAAATGATAATAATAATTAAAATAATAATTCAAGTATGTACTGACTTCCTGTAATTTATGACTTATGAAACATATAATTATTGTAATTAAGTAATATATATATATATCTTAACAAATTGATTGGTTAGACACTTAAGCTATCCATCTACCTATCTGGTGGGTGAAAGACAGAAGAGGCTGCCTCCGCAGAGTTGAACAGGTGTAATTTTCGGGAGGTGGAGCGAGCGAGGGAGGGAGGGACGATTAGAAGTTAATAAGGGAAGAGGATAAGCTGTTGGAAAAATAGGAAGGATTATTTTCCTCTCCTTGCGATAATTATTGTTAATAAATGACCCAACCAACACAATAATAATAATTGATTCAATTTCCCTAACTAGTCTAACTATGATTGGTTGGGATTGAAATAAGGATAGTTTTGTATCGCTTTAATGTCTGTCTTTAATTGGTCCTCCTCTTCCTCTATTGCTTACATTAATAATTAAGAGATATAAGGTGTATGGAGGGGAGAGGCGGTGATGAAGACAATCTCTTTTTTCAGAAGAGAATTCCTTTCTCCCCTGTTCTCTTTCTCTCTCTCTCTCTCTCTCTCAGCTATGTTATCAACGATGAAATTGGTTTGGTTTTATTTTAACTGATTAGCTGAATTTGATTGGTAGTCAGAGATAAGTAATCTGTGTAGTTTTTGGAAGGGATTAATTCGTTTGTTTGTTTGTTTGCCTGTTTTATCCAAGTTTGTGTAAGTTTGTATGGGGAAAAGTTTGTCAGTGTGTGTGTGTGTGTGTGTGACACGATGATAAGATTTTAAAGAAGTAACAACAATGATAATGTTGGCTAGTGACTTGCTACAGGACGGATGGAGTTTCCTGAAGTCAGTTCTAGTGAGAAGTTGTGTGGATGAATTTCCCATTGATGACATTGGTTGGTGCCAGTTGCGCTGAATGCATCACGAATTGGTAGAAGTTAGAATTCATGCGATGGCCGAAGAATAGGGTCTCAGTGAATAAATGATATACGAGCTCAATGGTCTTGTAACCGGAAGGTTGTAGGTTCGAACCCTGGAGGTGAGTGCGTACTGCCGATGATTCCCAAACTAGGACATAGAGAACAGCTGTCCAGCACTCCGGTGTCGGTTTTCAATGGTTCTCTAACTGATATCAATCCTCTGTGATCCAATTCGAAAAAATAATGATAATAATTATATTTCTAATTGATCAGAGAAGAAACCTATGACCTATGAAGAAACCTCTGTTTATTAAGTTACAATTTAATGGTCACTTATCAAGTGAGATTCTATTCCAAAGACTTTCTAGGAGTATATGAAGAACATTTTACGCAGCACACCTGTGTTTGTCATTCTCTAGCCGACAAATGATTAGGACGCAAACGAAGGATAAGCTTGATAGTATTGCCACATCTATGTGTATTTATCAATTCAACTGCACCTGCGGTGACAGTTATGTTGGGCTCACTACTGCTAGACAGCTTAGCCAACCGACGTGTTAGTGAACATCTCCCATCGTGGTGGTTTGGCAAAGGACAGACAAAAACAATCCGAAGCTCAATTCTGTCACATTTGATTGATAGTGGTCATGTAGTCGAGATAACGAAAGCCTTCAAAGTAATTCATCGTATCCCTCCGAATCTTTCTAATAGACTTCGTATTCGTCTACTGCAAACAGCTGGGGCGATAGGCATTCGAACTATTAAACCTAAACTATCCATTCAAAAGACGTTCGTACAGCCATTATCTCTCCCCTGTTGGCCTATTAAGACATAACCAACTGATGAATTCTCCACCACCCCTTACTTATATTTTCAACCCCTTTCTGATCATCCCTTAATCTTATCATATCTTCATTACGAATGTGTCTCATTTCCTTCCCTTACAATCTAACACTACTTAATCGGTTCATTTGTTATTACTAGCCTTTATCGACTACTACCTCCACCTGGACAACTGTTTGTTTAATCATACTGTTTTTCAGTATTCGTGTTATTACATATTGCCTCACTTTTTTATCCTTATTATGGATAAGAGCATTATTATTGTTATTATTACTATTATGACTAATTGCACAATTTATATTCACCATCGTATTACCCTATAGACAAAATACCATGATTGGTTTATATGTGAAATAATATTTGTAAATTTATGTATGTTACAGTTAAGCCTGATGAGGTCTAATTGAAACCACAATATTGTTCGCTTAAATGTGTTGTTCTAAATTTTACTATGGGAATATTTAATATATTGATTTTTTCAACACCAACAAGCATATCTGCTGATGGAAGTCTGCAGAGATGTGTCGGGAATGTTTTTTTTCTTCAAATCTTGCCACAATCCAAATTTCCTATGCCAACTTCGTTTGGTACCGCGTGACTGGAAAGACGCCATAGTAACCCCCATGTGCAAAGAAGAATCAAGAGAAAGCCCCTCAAATTACAGGCCTATCAGTCTCACCAACACTTTAACCAAGACACTGGAAAGAATCATCAAGAAAAGCATCATGGCATATCTGGAAGACAGCAGCTTGTTATCTAGAGCACAGCATGGCTTCTGGAAATTAGCCAATGGTCCAAGGAAAACGGTCTTACCTTAAACCCCTCCAAATGCCAAACAGTTAATTTCACCCTTAGGCATAAATCTGACCTAAACAAACTGGTTAGCACTCACGAGGTGTGCAACATAGATGGCAGTGAAATAGAAACCAAGTCGGAAATTAAATACCTAGGCGTCACTCTATCTTCTGATCTTTCCTGGTCGTCTCATATCTTGACGATTTCCAAGAAAATATTCCGTCTTACCTTCTACATCAAGAAGTTAAGACATTCTGGTGTAACCCAACCCTTACTCCTACAATTTGTTAACTCCCGTATTCTGCCTATTATTCTCTATTGCTCCCCCTTAGTCTTTCCTGGGCTATTGAAGAAAGACTATACCTTATTACGTAGGATGTTAAAGGTTGTCAGCAGGGTAAGCAGCTTGCCACTTAGCCAGCTAGTTAATATTCTGGTGGACAGGCATATGGACTCATGTGAAAAATGGGCGAAATCCATTTTATCTGACTCACAACACCCTCTACATTCACAACTCTCCCCATGTATCTCTTCAGGGAAAACCAGAAGCCTATATAGGAAACTATATGCCCGCACTAGTAAGTACAAAAACTCATCCATACCCTACTTAGCTCGTGTTCTGTGCGATAAAGAATGCATCAGGCATGAAACCTTTAACTTATCAAATAGTCAGTAGAACAACTGGATCTTGTCTTTCCAACTCACATCATTTATAGGTACAACGTTTTCTCGCTCTTCATTCTGTATTTATTTTTGTTATGTGCTGTTTTGTTTCTCTCTTCCTTGCAAACTCTACTTAAAACATTCTTGTTCGTTCTTTCACACTCTGTACATCTCGAGCATTTTGCTATCGCTTACGCCAGTAAATATGCTAGTAGTATCTACTTTTCTAACACCTTCAAACACTTTAATTTTGGCTTTGCTACCGACATACTAATATGTTGTTGAGATAACTTTAAACTATGTAGAACTTTATTTATTGTTAATGTAAAAAACTGGATGCAATATTGTAGTAAAATGCTGAGAATTCCATTCTGTATCACAAGTACTGATTTGGAATAAAGCTTATGTTATGTTATGTTATGTTCATGCCTGTCAAATCTCCTCACTGCAATAGAAAGCTGGGTCAAATCAAGGGACAACAGAAAACCCGTTGACGTCGTCTTCATAGACTTCAGCAAAGCCTTTGATAAAGTACCTTACAAAAGACTACTCATGAAGTTGGAAAGTCTTGGTATCAAAGGCAGATTACTTAACTGGCTCAGGGAATTCCTCATAGATAGGAGGCAGAGTATTAGGATCAACTGGAAACTCTCCTCTTGGACAGTAGTACGTAACGGAGTGCCATAAGGCATGGTACTCGAACCTCTCCTATTTATTTTGTATATCGATGAGTTATGTTTGCTCACTGACTCCCATTTGGTCCTATATACAGATGACTTAAAAATTTGGAGAGAGATGAAGGGCAGCAGTGATACGTTCACGTTGCGAGAGGACCTCAACAAACTGTCAGAGTGGTCCATAGAATGGATGCTCCCGATCAGTGCGGCAAAATGTGCAACTATGCGCATAGGACAAGCGAGCACGAGCTCCTACGAACTAGGGGGAATAACACTTCCATCAGTTCAGACTCACTTGGACTTATGTGTCATAGTCAGTCAAAACTACAGCACACTGTCGCGCGGTGGCTGCAGGTAGTTTCAGGTCCCTATGGGCGATTCGCAGATCCTTTACTAGAATCACCAGAGATATGTTCACCTCCTTATATACATCTCTGGTGAGGTCAAGACTGGAAAACTGCATCCAGGAAGCCAGTCGTTGTCTAAAAAGGGACTCACATATTCTAAAAAGGGTTCAAAGGAAGACAACACGTATGGTTCACGGCATGACTAACTTATCATACGATGGAAGACTAGACAGTTTAAATCTCTTCTCCCTGTCATACCGTAGGCAGACAGGAGATCTAATCACAATATTTAAAATTTTAAATAATGACTAAGGACCTGACCTATTGTCCCTTTTCCTTTCCACCAGGTCGGAACACCTTAGAAGACATGGCAGGAGAGTTCAAAAGCCAAGAAGAAATCATATTGCTGTTGAGTACTGGTTCTCACACCGAGTCATAAACTCTTGGAACCGACTCCCAGAAGAAGTGTCTGCAACCTCAACTGACTCATTCAAGAAGGGTTTGGACAACCACAGAAATTTACTAGAAAAGGATTAACATAGGCTTCAAGCCTTCTACCCTCAACCAATAAATCTGAATCTGTTTTTAGATTGAAATGAATTTTGATCTTCCCGTAAATGACTGATTTTATAATCGATAATATTCTGAAGTTTGAGGCGATGGGTACTGAGTTATAGTGCGAGTCTCAGTGGGAACATCATCACCTAGCCAGTCAGTAGGGAAGTAAGTACATCCACCTGATGAGTTTTAAAGTGGGATGAAACCCTGTCAGCCCTCATTATTAATGGGA